CTAGACCGCCTGCCTATGACCACTACACACTTACACACTTACAGGCTACACATGCCGATCTAGACAGGAGTGCGCTGCAGCCCAGCGAAATTTGGCAGCTGGAGGGGCGGTGCACTGTATATGACTTACCGTATGGACCTTTTACGCGCGCGCAGCGCCGCATCCGGCGCAAGAGAACTGCTTGCTGCCTGCTGCTGCTGATTGCTGCTGCTGTCGGAGAGGCGAGTGCGGGCGGCGCCGAATGCATAAATATTGGCCGCGGAGTGCAAGCAGGGTACAGTCAATAACAATGGCGGATCTTTTAGGCGGTGATTTATGAGTTCGCCAAAAAAGCATCGAATAGCAACGGATTTCCAGTAATTTACCTGCGCGAGTAGCCAGTAATATGAGTTCCGTTAATGGCACGCGCAAATACCGCATAGATTTCAAGGGCCCTAGCAGAGGAAGGTGACGGGAAATGCTCGCGCGCCGCAAGGTGAGAAAACGGCGCGAAACACGGGCGAGTAGGGGGGTGGGGGATCGCCTTCACAACGGCATTTTTTTTTGACACTTCCTGTTAACTCACACATGTTTATCGGTTGAAATTGAACAAAAAACACCCTCACAGTACCCCTGTCGATTTTAAAGGGCTACCCCCAACATTACGAAACTGACATAGGTTTCAATGGGACCCATGTTTCTATCCCCCCCTTGAACTAAGAGCGCTCATTTAGGAAAGACGAATTGGATTGATATTACATTAGAGTTATCCGGGTACTTATGACGGTATAGTGCATATATAGACAGTCATTTGACTGAAGTAATGTCTTGTAAACGCGTTTGCCGTGAGACTACAGCTAACAGTTAAAGTACAGACTGTAACTAAAGCTAACAACACAACACTCACTCACTGACCTCAAGCCACCTCCCAATAAAAATAATCCAGCGCGTGGGCGGATTGCTTATGTTTTGGCTAACGTCAGCTACACTGATTCAGAACATAACCGTAAGTGCGTAAGTATTCGTTACGCCAATTAAAACACTTCTAACGTGAACACCTACTGACCTATAAATAACAACTGCCCCGAGGTTGCTAAGGCTGGCTGAGGCCTAAAGGACATCATCAGATATCGTGACAGTGAGCAACGGCCGGAAGTGTGTAAAACGGAAACTGATAAATGCCTATCTCACGCCTCTGCTAGTGGCGCTAGCTGCTAGTGCTGTGGTGGCTATCGCTTCCATTCGGGTAGGCAAAAAATGATTTTAAAATCTATATTATGTCATTGCACTCTAAATGTAAAAGCATTGCGAGAGTAAATTATTGGTCATAAAATGATCGCCTGCACATAATGACTAATGATGATGGTTGCCGATCGAGGGTGCCAGGGAAGGTTGTGCTTGATAGGTTTCGCACACTGGTCTTCTGCAAATATATTCTCGAGGTAATATAAATAGCGCAAACGAGACTGAGATATATAATAATTTTTTTAACTGATTTTAGCTTTATAAAAACAACGAAACAAATTTATAGATAAGTCATGTAACTAATGAATGACAGTCCTAAGGACTTATAAAATTTTAATATAGACAGTATATTTATCGTAAAGGTCTAGGGAGAAATTAGGATGAAAACAAAAATGTTTGTATTTACTGGATTTCAGATCGTCTCTGCATTTTCTACACTACAAAATTATTGTGCTACCGCGGCACTACTCCAAGATATCTGGTTTTTAACTGCTGTGACTGTCAGGTGTTTTGGTAATATAATGGTGCCTAGCAAATTTGCTTTCCGTAAAAAATCTGGTTAACATCTGCCACAGAGAGTCATAACATGATTTGATGTAGTATAACTCCAAAATAACGGCGTCAATTATTGCCACGACCATAATAGATGCTTTCTCAGATGTCCAATTAGCCTAATTGCCAATGCCAATGCAATGGTTACGGGTTCGCGTCGCTTAGTCTCTCACACACGGACACATAGACCAATCATTGAATAAATTTGTTGCCCTAAAAAATATTATATATCTGATGTTTTTTAGGCCCCAAATAGCCTATCATAGACAAAACCTGTGAATTCTGTCTGCCAAAATGCACGACAACCTTTTACTATTTACGTGCCGTGTTAATAGAAAATCAAAGAAATACCTAAAGCCGTCGCTTTATTAACATGTTACCTTACATTACAAAAACACTTGCCATGCAAGTATTCTCCTCTTTTAATCACGTTAATTATTAAAACATCCAGACAAAAATCACGCAAACTCACTACAACACAAAACTGCCCAATCTTGCATTGAACCGCCACAACGACATTTCTCACGGCCAATGAATCATCGCTGTGACGTTGTCCGCGGTGCGCGTTGTATACAACTTACATTTAACAATTAATACAAATATATTTACAACACACAGGCACTTGAAGCCGTTTTCACTAAAATATATCGCTAACTAAATACGAATTATTTACTACCAAATTCTTAAGTTTCTATACTCTCTTCACCTATTTATTGTGACATTTTCTGTTAAATTCCGTCCAAATCCTATTGTGCGAACAAACACTGACTGCCGCCATTCCACACGCGGCTTGCCAGCTGTGCCACACTGGCAGCTATATATTATATAGCTGGTAGGAAAGCCGTGGCTGCCCAAATATTCGCTCGACGCTCGCTGATTTCACACCCGATTAAACACAAATAATTCAACCATTCTACTCCATCTTTGTTCTATTTCAACAACATGTTGCACATTGTTATAAAAACATACCGGCTACTTGTCTCTGTTCCTAACGCAGCTGTGTACCGCGAAATAACACAAAGACTGCCGAAATTCTTCAGCGTTCGCGAAACCTTGCCAGTAATGTGAAGAGGCTGCAAGTACAAGGGCTATAATGACTGGGACTCGCTCCCACCTCGATTACCCATCGAGTGGACTAAGCTAAGCGAGAGGTGGGAAGCGAGCTACCAAGTCTGTGCGGCTATAGGCGGCGCGCAGGCGGCGCACTGCTTCAAGCTCCCATTACGACCTCGCCATTGGAACGTACAGCGTTGCGCCGCAAGAATGAGCGTCGACGAGAGCGGCCGGTAGCGTGTTTCCTGATTCTGACAGCATTATACATTACTGCGACAAGGTTTCGCGAATGCGAGAATTTTCGTTCAGTCTTTGTGCTATTTCACGTGACACAGCTCGGTTACGAACAGAGCCAGTATGTTTTTTATAACAAGTGAACACTGTTTCGTTGACATAGTTCAAACCAAGATGAGCCTGTTGGATGTGTATTCGGTGCTGTTGAAGTGCTGAAATCAAGCGGAGCGTCGAAGCGAATTTTGCGATCCCGCTTTCCTACCTGCTATACTATATAAGTGTCAGTGTGCCACACATGCAGCCGCGTGGGAATGGCGCATCATTTTTGGCCTACTGTTCACCGGATTAGCCTCTGATCAAGGCATGATATGGAGGCTGAGCAGTTTCGCCAACACTTACGTATGCACTTTCTAACAATCCAGCCATGTATGCCTCCCAGAATCCTTCTCAAATTTACCTTATATATGTTTCAACTGGTACTTCCTCACCACTCAATGTGGTGCCGAATTTTACGAAATCTCGCTTCCAACGATCTATCAGAGTCCTTCACATACTTTCCACACGATTCACACGTTTCTACTGCATGGGCTACCACCACCTTTGCTGTTTTGGCTACCTGTCAAGCCTACCCCACCGTATTGTCTTTGTTATTTATATTGCTACTACTTTGCCTGATCCTCTAGTAACCTTGTACTCGTAGTCCCAGTAGCAGACATCTATAAGCTGGTATCTTGTTTACCAACCTACATACCAACACAAATAATGCGCCACTTAGATGATTACAATTATTTATTAACGGTATTTAAGTGTTTTCTGTTATTTTCTTGATTGTGCAAATAGACGCCATAACACATGCTGTAAAACGATCATTGCGAAATTTCTGTTCGCCCAGAAAAACTCCAATATTGCTGATATATAGTCTCACTCTGACAGCGAAAATATTCGAACTTGATTACACACTTTCAAAACACGAATATTTTTATGCAGTTATAACATAGAACAATTGATTTGACCCCATCTATACCAGCAAATACATTTTTTCGAGCTCACTACTTCAAAATATCACAAATGCCGCGTCCAAACAGCGAGCATATTAAAACAAAGGGGCATCCTATTTGTGTGTTGATAAGTCATTCTCGATGGCGTATACAACGAGGATTTGACCCATTCTCTCTCCCGTCTTCGTTAATAGTCCCTAGGACTTTGAAGACTAATATTTATGAGCGTTACCAACTTACCACTCTTGTTTGTGTTACGCTAACTATGCACCTCTGTGTTTACATCTGACCAAAAATATCATCCAGTGCGATTTTGTGCATTACTGCTTACCTTGTTGTATGGTCTCGCTGGTTACTGCGAGAAGTGCGAGGACATGACAGCCGAAAAATCAACAGAGAACGCAAAATTGTAATCGTGCATGATTTTGTCTTTGCCATGCGGTTCCCAAGACATTTTATTGTGTATTTCAAACAATTACTGTTTACTCAAACACAACGGTAGGCATCATGAGAGCTGAGAATAAACACTAAAAATGCTGAAAACAAACTCGCGCAATGATCTCGCTTTAAGACTTGGCAGTAAATACCATTTTTGTGTTTACTTTTACGCGATAATTTTAATTATTGTGAAGTTCTAAGTTGCACTGTAGACAATAGCTTGCGCATTGTAATTCTACTTAATGTTATGAATAACATGTCATGAGTATGAATTGCGTAAATAAGATATAATAATTGTAATACTTCGCGACGATAGTCGCGGGGATACTATGGTTTTCATGTCTGTCCAGCCGCCGCCCTTGCAGACACTTTCCCCTTCGCGCTCTATAACTCGACCCCTAATTGACCTAGCGTGCGAACCAAACATAGTCTACTTTACACATCTTGGGAAGAAGGTGCACAGCGTACCAAAACCAGGTCACTACGACCTTCATATTGACCTTATAACCTTGACCTTAATCATATTTCTCTCGCTGCTCTATAAAATCGGCCCTAATTGACCTAGCGCTCCGAACTTGGTATTACTTACACATCTTGGGCGAGAAGGTATGTCAGCGTTAGTGCCAAAACGCAGGTCACTGCGGCCCTTTATTTGACCTTGACATTGCACCTGATAATATCTTCCTTTCGCTCTGTAAACTCGGCCGAATTGACCTAGGCTAACAAACATGGTTATACTTACACATCTTGGGCGAGAAGGTGCGTTAGCGTACCAAAAACCAGTCAACTGTACGACCTTTATTTGACCTTTACCTTTTACCTTGCATCATATTTCGCCTTCCGCCTCCTATAACTCGGCCCTAATTGACCTAGCCGCTAACGCAAACCTTGGTATACATTACACTTTGGGGAGAAGGTGTGTCGGCGTACCAAAACCACGTCTCTGCCGGCTTTTATTTGACGCTTGAACCTTGATCATATTTCCTTCGCTCTATAACTCGTGCGCGCCTAATTGACCTAGCGTGACCAAAACTTGGTATACTTACACATCTTGGGTAGAAGGTGTGTCGCGTACCGAAACCAGGTCACTGCAAACCTTTATTTGACATTGGACCTTACTTGACCTTCAATCAATATTTATCCTTCCGCTCTTAACTCGCGCCCCTAATTGACAATTAGCGCGAGCAAACTTCGTACTACTTACACATCTTAGTGTGTCGCGTAACCAAAACCCGCTAACAGAGCAACCATTTTAACATACTTGCACAGTCTCAGGCAGATGCAGTTGTGTAACAAACTTTTGTCTTTGTGGACTTATTAACTTTTACCTACCTTTTCAGTGTCCTTACAGAGAATACTTTCATTCATACTAGATCACGGGGGATACATGTAGTTGCGACAACTGCCCTTCTAGTTAAGAAATAAGTCACGAATATGATCTTGAGTAAAACTTAAACCATCGAATGCTAAAGAGGAGGCTACGTATCAAACGCCTTGTATATAATTACGAGGGTTGCCAGACTTGTTCCATTTTCAACTGCCGAACGCGTGGTAATTCCAATTTATGTATAGTTCTCGCCAATTTAAATAAAATCACATTTATTGGAATGACTTATCTCTAAGTAATCCTCTAATTGTGCTTACACGCTGTCAATTGTTAATGGAAGAGTACAAGACATGCGACAAGTTGAGAGCGACTTCTGAGAAGTTGCACGTGCTGGCTTCGTACGACTTTGCCAAGAAGATGGATGAGCTGGTACAGGCATCCTTAGCTCTGGCACTGGAGGCCAAGTCCTCCGCGTAGACAGTTGTCGAGGGCACGATAAACACAAGACGCGCAAGCGTCGGACCGCTGCAAGCGCCGGCCCAGACGGATCGACCTCTTGTGCCCCGTGGGATCTTGTCAATCATGAGCGAGGCTTCGCGAGAGCAGCCTGGACGAGACGTTTGAAGGGCTACATGGAGAACGTGTACGCGGCCAGAAGCGACTCAGAGGAGAACGGAGGGCGGATGGCGTCCCCAAGCGTGCTCGTGGCGACAAGTCCATCCGCCGCGTGGTCGATCGGACATCCTTTCACGGACCAACTTCACGGCGAGGTTTCGCAGCCGGCGCGCCGCGTAAGTGCAAGCGCATGGCGGTCGACGCCACAAGCCGTCGCCGGGAGCTCCGACGCACGACTTCCTGAAAGCCGCGGCACGTCGCGCAGGACGAAGGGGAAGTCGGATGCCGGCCGACGGCGAGCGAGCGCGAATCGCTCACGGCGCACACGGCGCCGCGGGCAATGCGCAAACAGAATCTTCCAACTTCCCCGACAAGCCGCACAGAACGGAGTGCGACGATGCATGAGGGTGCCGCTAGCAAGAGGACAACGCCGCAGGCGATGATGGAGAGGCGATGGACTTCAGTGGTGAGGAGTCACATGCAGCGATGGCGTAGGTGGCGTTGTACGGATCGTGTCTATTTTCAATATCCGTAGGGTAACACGTGCTATAGCGTGCGTGTGAACAAAGATTAGTGGTTGGGTGTACAGTGGCGAGTCAAGCCTTTTCTGAATGTATTTTCATCTTTTACTAGGCTGCAATTTTACTATGCAAGAAATGTAAATTATCCTTTTCTCACATCGGTATGTAGACAATAAAAGCATAAACACCCAGTGTGAGATAACTGCTATAGAAGAATGTTTCACATCCGCCACTTTCATTTACATGTCAAACCAACTAACCTGTTCTATTTTTTAGTAGTTTAGTGTTAGTCATCAAACGAAACAAGCAATCTAATGCCCTTGCTGTTGCTGCCAGGTCATACGTACACACTCGCTCCATCCCATTATGAGGTATAAATAGCTGCTTATTCGTTTACAATTAAAACTAGTCTTAGAAATGCATAGTGGTGTAAGCTCATTCCTTTTTTTAGAGGCTTAGCAGTTTGTAGCAGTTTGAAGCAGCAGTTGAAAGTGACCTTGGAGTCTACACAAATGACGAAGCGCCGAGAACGGTTTGTGGGAGATTAAGAATGTTGACTTTATTGTTTTGTATTTCCCGGGTATTTGACTGGATGTTGGATTTATTTAGTGCTTGGTTTTGCCTATGTAAAATAGATGTGATTATAATAAAATACATAATGGTGATGATGAATTTCTGTTCTGAAAAGCGTAAATGTTACATCTACTCATTTTGCCTATAATATAACACCCTGTGACAAACTACGTCAAACAACTCTCTCTTGCATAAACATGCACAATGCAGCACGGTAAAAATACCATTTTCTAAGAGGTGTTTTAATTGTTTTCGTGTTGGTCAAATGAACAATTGTCAAATGGTCGCATTTTTTCACGCGCCTGACGTGAGCAGCATGACTACTACCGATGAGCGGCTCGACGTGCTGGAAAAAATAACCTGATGTCAAAGATTGGTGGGAGCTAGACCAGCAGGTAAGTAATTGTTAGTCTGCGTTGTCCATGATGGAACATGAGGTTGCTAGCCATGAATCTTACTCGAGTTCAGCGAACTTAATTGCAACATTCAGGGTTCTCCCTACATTGCCGCAAAACGGGGCGCGCTTGCCAGGGTTCTCCCCAGGATGAAATTGAAACGGGGGGGGGGGGTCCGGGGGGCGCGTGTTTTTTACCGTACCACACTAATTAATCCGGTAAAGATCGCCACCACACTATTAAGACGCGTATTTTGGGGGTTCTTGTTATATAAGATAGCCGAATCAAACTGTTTGCCTTATTTGTGTATGCGTCTGCCAGTGCATGCCGTGCGTACAGTAAAATTACACGCCCCCCCGGACCCCCCCCCCCCCCCGTTTCAATTTCATCCTGGGGAGAACCCTGGCAAGCGCGCCCCGTTTGCGCAATGTAGGGAGAACCCTGAATGTTGCAATTAAGTTCGCTGAACTCGAGTAAGATTCATTGCTAGCAACCTCATGTTCCATCATGGACAACGCAGACTAACAATTACTTACCTGCTGGTCTAGCTCCCACCAATCTTTGACATCAGGTATTCCACACGTCGAGCCGGCCTCATGGTAGTAGTCACTCTGCTCATCGTCAGCTGCGTGAAAAAAATGCGACCATTGACAATTGTTCAATTGAACCAACACGAAAAAATTAAAACACTCTTAGAAAAGCGTATTTTTACCGTGCTGCATGGTGGCATGTTTATGCAAGAGAGTTGTTTGACGTACGTTTTGTCACAGGTGTATATTATAGGCAAAGAGTAGATGTAACATTACTATTTCAGAACAGAAATTCATCATCACCATTATTGTTATTATTATTATTAATCACATCTATTTAATAGGCAAAACCAAGCACCTAAATATTCCAACATCCAGTCAATAACCCGGGACATAAACCAATAAAGTCACATTCTTAATCTCCCACAAACCTTCTCGGCCTTCGTCATTGGTGTAGACTCCAAGGTCACTTTCACTGCTGCTCAAACTGCTACAACTGCTACAGCTAAAAGGAATGAGCTTACACCACTATGCATTTCTTAAGACTAGTTTATTGTAAACGAATAACAGCTATTATACCCTCAATGGGTGGAGCGAGTGTGCTACGTATGACCTGCAGCAACAGCAAGGCATTAGATTGCTTGTTTCGTTGATGCTAAACTAACTACTAAAAAAATAAGACAGGTTAGTTGGTTGAGCTGTAATGAAGTGGGATGTGAAACATTCTTCTATACAGTTATCTCACACTGGGTGTTTATGCTTTATTGTCTACATACCATGTGAGAAAAGCATAATTACATTTCTTGCATAGTAAAATTGCAGCCAGTAAAGATGAAAATACATTCAGAAAAGCTTGACTCGCCACTTACACCCAACAGCTAATCTTGTTCACACGCACGTATGCACTGTACCCTACGGATATTTGAAAATAGACACGATCCGTACAACGCCACCTACCCATCGCTCTGTGACTCCTCACCACTGAAGTCCATCGCCTCTCCATCTCGCTGCGGCGTGTCCCTCTTGCTAGCGGCACCCTCTGCATCGTCGCACTCCGTCGTGCGCTTGTCGGGGAAGTTGGAGATTCGTTTGCGCTTGCCCGGCGCCGTGTGCGCCGTGAAGCGATTCGCGCTCCTCGCGTCGCCGGCATCCGACTTCCCCTTCGTCCTGCGCACGTGCCGCGGCTTCAGGAAGTCGTGGTCGGGAGCTCCCGGCGACGGCTGTGGGTCGACCGCCATGCGCTTGCACTTCCGGCGCCGCCGGCGCGAAAACCTCGGCGTGAAGTTGTCGGTGAAGGAGTCCGACTCGACCAGCGCGATGGACTTGCTCGGCACGAGCACGCTGGGGACGCCACCGTTCTCCTCTGAGTCGCTCTGCCGCGTCACGTTCTCCATGTAGCCCTTCAACGTCTCGTCCAGGCTGCTCTCCGAAGCCTCGCTCATGTTGACAAGATCCCACGGGGGCACCAAGAGCGTCGTCTCGGGCCGGCGCTTGCGCGGCCGACGCTTGCGCGTCTTGTGTTTATCGTGCCTCGCACACTGTCTACTGCGCGAGGACTCCTCCAGTGCAAGGCTAAGATCCTGTACCAGCTCATCCATCTTCTGGAAGTCGTACGAAGCCAGCACGTGCAACTTCTCAAAGTCTCTCACTATGTCCATGCTTGACTCTTCCATTAAACAATGACAGCTGTAAGCACAATTAGAGGATTACTTTAAGATTAGTTCTATTCCATAAATGTGATTTTATTTAAATGAGAACTATACATAAATTGAATTACACGGTTGGGTTGAAAATGGAACAAGTCTGGCAACCTCGTAATTATATACAAGGGTTTGATACGTAGCTCCTCTTTAGCATTCATGGTTTAAGTTTTTACTCAAGATCATATTCGTGACTATTTCTTAACTAGAAAGGGCAGTTGTCGCCAACTACATGTATCCCCCGTGATCTAGTATGAATGAAATATCTCTGTAAGGACCTGAAAGGTAGGTAAAGTTAAATAAGTCACAAAGACAAAGGTTTGTTACACAACTCATCTGCCTGAGATGTGCAAGTATGTTAAAATTGGTTGCCTTAGGGGTTTTGGTACGCGACACACCTAAGATGTGTAAGTATACGAAGTTTGCTCGCGCTAGGTCAATTAGGGGCCGAGTTATAGAGCGGAAGGAAAATATGATGAAGGTCAAGGTGAAGGTCAATGTCAAATAAAGGTTGCAGTGACCTGGTTTCGGTACGCGACACACCTTCTACCCAAGATGTGTAAGTATACCAAGTTTGGTCACGCTAGGTCAATTAGGGGCCGAGTTATAGAGCGAAAGGGAAATATGATCAAGGTCAAGGTCAAATAAAAGCCGCAGAGACGTGGTTTTGGTACGCGACACACCTTCTCCCCAAAATGTGTATGTATACCAAGTTTGGTAGCGCTAGGTCAATTAGGGGCCGAGTTATAGAGCGGAAGGGAAATATGATCAAGGTAAAGGTAAAGGTCAAATAAAGGTCGTAGTGACCTGGTTTTGGTACGCTACGCACCTTCTCCCCAAGATGTGTAAGTATACCATGTTTGGTAGCGCTAGGTCAATTAGGGGCCGAGTTACAGAGCGGAAAGGAAATATTATCAAGGTCAATGTCAAGGTCAAATAAAGGCCGCAGTGACCTGGTTTTGGTACGCGACATACCTTCTCCCCAAGATGTGTAAGTATACCAAGTTCGGTAGAGCTAGGTCAATTAGGGGCCGATTTATAGAGCAGGAGAGAAATATGATTAAGGTCAAGGTAAAGGTCAAATAAAGGTCGTAGTGACCTGGTTTTGGTACGCTGTGCACCTTCTCCCCAAGATGTGTAAGTAGACTATGTTTGGTCACGCTAGGTCAATTAGGGGTCGAGTTATAGAGCGGAAGGGAAAGTGTCTGCAGCGGCGGCGGCTGGACAGACATGAAACCATAGTATCCCCGCAGACTTCGTCGCGAGTATACAATTATTTATCTTATTTACCAATCATACTCATGACATGTTATTCATAACATTAATGTAGAATTACAATGCGTACACTATTGTCTACAGGCACTTAGAACTTTCCAATAATAAAATTATGGTAAATAAACACAAAATGTATTTACTGCCAAGTCTTAAAGCGATCATTGCGAGTTGTTTTCAGCGTTTTTTAGTGTTTATTCTCACTCTCATGATGCCTACCGTTGTTGTTTGAGTAACAGTAATTGTTTGAAATAACAATAAAATGTCTTAGAACCGCATGCAAAGATAAAATCATGCACGATTACAATTTTGCGTTCTCTTGTTGATTTTCGCTGTCATGTCTCGCACTTTCTCGCAGTACCGCGAGACATCAACAAGGGTACAGTAATGCACAAATCGCACTGGAGATATTTTTGGTCAGATGTAAACACAGAGGTGCATAGTAGCGTAACACAAACAAGAGTGTAAGTTGTAACCTCATAAATATTAGTCTTCAAAAGTCCTAGGGACTATAACGAAGACGGAGAGAGAAATGGGTCAAATCCTCGTTGTTACCGCCATCGAAAATACTTATCACACACAAATAGATGCCCCTTTGTTTTAATTATGTTCGCTTGTTTGAGATGCCATTTGTGATTTTTGAAAGTAGTGACTCGAAAAAATGTATTGCTGGTATGATGTGGTCAAATCAATTTTTCTATGCTATAACTGCATAAAATATTGGTGTTTTGAATGTTGGTGTAATCAGTGATATTTTCGCTGTCAGGTGAGACTATATTCAGCTATATTTAGTTTTTCTGAGCAAAATTTTCGCAATGATCGTTTTAACATGTGTTGTGGCGTCTATTTGCACCAATAAGAAAAAAACAGAAAAACTTAAATACGTAATAATATAATTGTAATCATCTAAGTGGCGCATTATTGTGTTGTTGTGTTGGTAAACAATACCAGCTATAGATGTCTGCTACTGGGACTACGAGTACAAGGTTACTGAGAGGATCAGCAAGTAGTAGCAATATAAATACCAGACAATACGAGGGGTAGCTTGACAGGTAGCAAAAAGCAAAGGTGGTGGTACCCATGCAGTAGAAACGTGTGGATCGTGTGGAAAAGTAGTGAAGGACTCTGATAGATCGTTGGAATGCGAGATTTGTAAATTCTGGCACCACATTGAGTGTGAGGAAGTACCAGTTGAAACATATAAGGTAATTGAGAAGGATCTGGGAGGCATACACTGGTATTGTAGAAAGTGCAACGTAAGTGTTGCGAAACTGCTCACCTCCATATCATGCCTTGATCAGAGGCAATCCGTGACAGAGGCCAAAATGAATGCGCCATTCCTCACGCGGCTGCAGTGTGCACACTGACACTTATATATATAGCAGGTAGGAAAGCGGGATCGCAAAATTCGCTCGACGCTCGCTTGATTTCACACTTTCACAGCACGAATACACATCCAACAGCTTCCATCTTTGTTTGAACTATGTCAAGAACAGTGTTCACTTGTTATAAAAACATACTGGCTCTGTTCGTAACCGAGCTGTGTCACGTGAAATAGCACAAAGACTGACGAAATTCTCGCATTCGCGAACCTTGTCCAGTAATGTAAATGGCTGTCAGAATCAGGAAACACCTACCGGCGCTCTTCGTGACCTCATTCTTGCGCCGCAACGCTGTAACGTTCCAATGGCGAGGCTCGTATGGGAGTTGGAAAGCAGTGCGCCGCCTGCGCGCCGCCTATAGCCCACAGACTGGTACTCGCTCCCACCTCTCGGCTTAGCTTAGTCACTCGATGGGTAATCGAGGTGGGAGCGAGTCCCAGTCTATATAGCCCTGTACTTGCAGCCATTCACATTACTGGGCAAGGTTCGCGAACGCGAGAATTTCGTCAGTCTTTGTGTTATTTCGCGTGACACAGCTCGGTTAGGAACAGAGACAGTACCGGTATGTTTTTATAACAAGTGAACACTGTTGTTGAAATAGAAACAAAGATGGAGTAGAATGGTTGAATATTTGTGTTGTAATCGTGTGAAATCCAGCGAGCGTCGAGCGAATTTGGGCAGCACGCTTTCCTACCAGCTATATATATAAGTGCCAGTGTGCACACTGCAGCCGCGTGTGGAATGGCGGCAGTCAGTGTTTGTTGCACATAGGATTTGGACGGAATTTACAGAAAACTGTCAGCAATAATAGGTGAAAGAGAGTATAGAAACATTAAGAATTTGGTAGTAAATAGATTTCGTATTTAGTTAGCATTATATTTTACTGAAACGCTTCAAGTGCCTGTGTGTTGTAAATTATATTTGTATAATTGTAATGTAAGTTGTACTACAACCGCACCGGACAACGTCACAGCGATGATTTCATTGGCCGGTGAGAAATGTCGTTGTGCGGTTCAATGCAAGATTGGCAGTTTTGTGTGTAGTGAAGTTTGCGTGATTTTTATGTCGTGATGTTTTAATAATTAAACGTGATTAAAGAGGAGAATACTGCATGGCAAGTGTTTTGTAATGTAGGTAACATGTTAATAAAGCGACGGCTTTAGGTATTTCTTTGATTTTCTATGTAACACGGCCGTAAATAGTAAAAAGGTTGTCGTGCATTTTGCATGACAGAATTCACAGGTTTTGTCTATGGAAGGCTATTGGGCCCTAAAATAACATCAGAATATAATATTTTTTAGGGCACAATTTATTCAATTATTGGTCTATGTGTCCGTGTGAGAGACTAAGCGACGCGACCGTAATCCATTGCATTGGCATTGGCATTAGGCTAATTGGACACGAGAAACATCTATATGGTCGTGCAATAATTGACCCGTTATTGGAGTTATACCTACATCAAATCATGTATGACTCTCTGTTGCAGATGTTTACAGAATTTTTTACGAAAGCAATTTGCTAGGCACCATTATTATTACAAAACACCTGACAGTCACAGCAGGTTAAAAACGATATCTTGGAGTAGTGCCCGGTACACAATAAATTTTGTAGTGTAGAAAATCAGAGACGATCTGAAATCCATAATACAAACATTTGTGTTTTCATCCTAATTTCTCCCTAACCTTTACATAAATATACTGTCTATTTTTAAATTTTATAAGTCCTTAGACTGTAATTTATAGTTACATGACTTATCTATAAATTGTTTCGCTTGTTTTTATAAACTAAATCAGTTAAAAAAATTATTATATATCTCAGTCTGTTTCGCCTATTTATATTACCCGAAATATATTTGCAGAGACAGTGTGCGAAACCTATCAACACACCCCATCATGCATTTCATTATGTGCAGCGATCATTTTATGACCAATAATTTACCCTCGCATGCTTTTACTTTTAGAGTGCAATGACATAATATAGATTTTAAAATCATTTTTTGCCTACCCGATGGAACGATAGCACCACAGCACTAGCACTAGCGCCACTAGCAGCGTGAGATAGCATTATCAGTTTCCGGTTTTACCACTTCCGGCCGTCTCACTGTCACGATATCTGATGATGTCCCTTAGGCCTCAGCCAGCCTTAGCCAACCTCGGGGGCAGTTGTTATTTACTAGGTCAGTAGGTGTTCACGTTAGAAGTGTTTGTAATTGCGTAACGAATACTTACCACTTACCGGTTATGTCTGAATACAGTGTAGCTGACGTTAGCAAACATAACAATCCGCACGACGCTTGGATTATTTTTAATGGGAAGGTGAGCTGAGTCAGTGAGTGAGTGTTGTGTTGTTTACTCAGTTACAGTCTGTACTTAACTGTACTGTAGTCTCACTGCAAACGCGTTTACAGACATTCAGTCAAATGACTGTCATATATGCACTATACGTCATAAGTACCCGGATAACTCTAATGTAATATCAACCAATCGTCTTTCCTAATGGCGCTCTTGGTTCAAGGATAGAGAACATGGGGCCCATTGAAACCTATGTCAGTTTCGTAAATGTGGGGGTAGCCCCTTTAAAATCGACAGGGGTACTGGTGAGGGTGTTTTTGTTCATTTCAACCGATAAACATGATGTGAGTTAACAGGAAGTGTCAAAAAAAATGCGTTGAAGCGACCCTACTCGCCCGTTTTCGGCCGTTTCTCACCATTGCGACGCGCGAGCATTTCCCGTCACCTTCCTCTGCTAGGGCCCTGAAATCTATGTCGGTATTTGCGCGTGCCATTAACGGACTCATATTACTTGCTCTCCGCAGTAAATTACCTGGAAATCCGTTGCTATTCGATCTTTTTTGGCGAACTCATAAAATACCGCCCACAAGATACGCCATTGTTATTGACTGTACCCTGCTGCACTCTCGCGGCAATATTATGCATTCGCCCGCCCGCTCGGCCTCTCCCGACAGCAGCAGCAACAGCAGCAGCAGCAGCAGCAGTTCTCTTGCGGCCGGTGCGCGCTGGCCGCGCGTAAAGGTCCATACGGTAGTCATATACAGTGCCACCCCCCCTCCCAGCTGCCAATTTCGCTGCTGCACGCACCTCTGTCTAGATCGCTGTGTAGCCTGTAGTGTGTAGTGTGTAGTGGTCATAGGCAGGCGGCAGGCAGGCAGGCAGGCAGGGTTAGGGTTAGGGTTAGGGATAGAGATAGGGATAGGGTTAGGGTTAGGGTATGCCTATTCCGCAAATATACATGAAGCCACGCGCGCCTATCTTGTGCGCACTGGGGGCATACCATGATTCATGCTCGTCATGTCATACATAATTCACGTGTGAATAAACTGTATGATATCTGTCCTGTGAAAACAATATCAATGTCTTCCTTGTATTCATTGTTTGCCCTGCTCTGCAACCGTGCTCGCACATACAAATTCATATGCATATGCTCACGCAAACAGATAAACGCGAATAGAATTACACATGCATATCGAATGACCCAAAGACGCTACACCATCAACAATCCACTGTAATAGTAATAGTCTACAGCAGCCAATTTATTCATGCAATACACGCGAGCCTACTCACTACTACGTTGGTACAACCATCCTACAAACAGCCTATTAACCCCTTATTGGGGGAGGGTTGATGGGCTCTTCATCCTACTATTATCCTACGACTCCCTAGTTACCCTACACCCCTATTCAATCATCATTCGTCCCATACCATCTAATGAGGCACACACGCTCACACATATACACGTCACGTCATGTTCATTGATGCAGGAGCGTAGGAGTAAGACAGCGATTTGGTACTGATTTCACTACATTTTTGTCGTACGAGTTCGATGTGAATAAAAATACAAATGTATACAAAACATGCAGCTTCTTTTGTTTCAGCTGGTCCTTAGTCTCTATCTTCCACGGTAGATTACCAAAACGCGTAGCTTCCTTCGTTGTGACATAAATCATCTTTTTGCCCGACATGGGTTTTCACGTTATTTACGTCCCGTGGCGAGGACACACTCTAAATTTTGGCCAAAACAGGCAGCTCTTCCAATGAGCCACGTAGGGCTTTTCGGCCGTAGCCGTAGTCGAGTGCAGAAAATTCGCCTAGAAAATTAAGTTACGTTGCACCCATGCTGGTTTAAAAATTAACAACTATTTTAAGCATTTATAACTATAGTTAGAATTGCGCTTGTGTTTATGGTTTTAAACCGCAGTTTTTTTTTAATAACGCCTGTGCTTGGTAAAATATATGAACTACTTCACCTTGCGGAGGCAGAATGATGGTGTATGAATTGTTATGAGTACACCTGACGCTCCAGCCGCATTGTAGCTTTTCCGCACGATGTGTTTTGCATTAATTGCATAGCAACTGTTATCGTCTAGCCACTACAGTTGCGCTGGCGCTCCTGACGCGATCCTGCCGTGGCTCATTGAAGAGCTGTGTCAGCCTGTGTGTGGCAAATTTAGAGTGTGTCCTCGCCACGCGGACGGTAAATAACGTGAAAACCATGTCGCTGCAAAAGTATGATTTATGTCAAAAACGAAGGAAGCTACGCGGTTTTGTAATACTACAGAAGATAGAATAAGGACCAGTGAACAAAAGAAGCTCATGTTTGTATACATTTGTATTTTTATTCACATCGAACTCGTACGTACAAAAATGTAGTGAAATCAGTACCAAATCGCTGTCTTACTCCTTTGTCATTATACGCTCCTGATTTGATGAGTACAGCGCGATGTTGTAGTCTGATGGCTGCATTACGCCCCGGACGCGCGAGCGCCCAGCACCCAACGCACGCACCACACGCATCACATATAGACACGTCATGTCTACGCCATTGCGGGCACACGCCTCTCCCCCCCCCCTTCATGTGTCATGCGCACTTGCTGGTAGGTATTCTGCATTTCCTCGCGTCGCTCGGCTCGGCAGTCGCGGTCGTGACCGGCTCGTGACATAAAAATTGGGTGTCAACACGTGGCATCCACTACCGCCTTATCGCTACGTGTGATCGCACAGCGACCGTATATATTATAAATGCTAAACAGCTATATTATCTATGAATATATACAGTAGCATCCGCATTCATTTCTGTCCGTCGCAAGCATTTATATCAATTTACGCTGACCCGCACTGTGTCTACACTCTGCTAACCTTCGCAATGTATATATATACCTTATATATGTCCGTTCTCGGGAACGCAATGCATATATATATCAATTATAAATCCCTATTCTGAAAGTTTTCAGTTCGCACAGCTTTTATTATCCACGCATCGGTCGCAGGAGTCGCAATGCATTTCCACATGCCTCAAGTATATACATAGCCTAATACGCCGCTTTCCTCACCAACCATAACGATATATTATAGTCATATATACATGCCTACTCAGCATCTCAACACACCGCATTCATAAGTGTGGTGGTCGCAGAGGCCTTTATATTCATTGCATAGGAAAAGTAGCGTAGTCAGAGTTGCCAGACCGGCAGCGAGAGAGAGGAGAGAGAGAGGGGGAGGAAAGTGTGTATATGTGTGCTTGTGTGTGTATTATAGTGCGTAATGTGTGTATATCCCATAATATATATATCATATATATACATATATATAATATTATACATATATATATATACCATAGATATATATAACCATATATAATATCTATATACATGTCTGGATATGTATATATATCTATGTATATATATATTCTATATATATGTATATATAGTAATATACACATATATATGTATATATAATTATATATATATATATATATATATATCGTATACATATCTCTGTATCATATCCAAGCGCGTATATAAACCAGTGTATATAGCACAGTGAGGCGCCATCCTATCGGCCCAAAAAAATCGTCTTTATTGGGCCCATGTTCTTATCTTGGAGCCCGCGCTCTTTCAGCCTATTAAATATGTACATGGTGTCAGAATAATTACGAAAATTCACGCCTTAAATCTGAACAGGTTTAAACCCCCATCCCAGCTCAATTTTGATGGGAAATCTGCAGAGAGACTTGGAAAAGATGGAAGCTAGCGCTTCGAGCTTTACCCCTCACGGCGTCAGGCTGTGGTAAGAAAGAATGCGTGCTACGAAGATTGGCTTATACTACTCCACACGATCGGAGACGAAGGCAATAATAAATTTACAATACCTTCCACATATGCGGATCAAGAGGGACAAGGGACAGTCTTGATGTAGTCTCTACACAACATTTAGTGAGTACTGGTGAGCACAGAAAAAAACACAGTTATAGAAGGTACAGCGTTTCGCGGAACGCTTCACAACTGGGAAGGGGAAACGATAGCACCAATTCCTAACTGCCCTAAAATATCATGCAAGAAAACTGATTTCGACACACAAAGAGACAATAATGATTCGTGACGCAGCGAATAATTTTCGGTGGGCAGACCTCCAAGGCCTCAAGGAAACGGCTATTGAGAGACTCTGACAATCTTGACTACAGGCATCGTTGAGTTATGCAGGCCGCCGAGCGCGAGTGCCAGAGCAGCTCAGAGAAATAGATAACATGCGTGTACGCGCGAGAGCATTAATGGCGCGCGTATGCGAGCAGCGGACAAAAAATACCGCGTCGCCACAGGCTAAGTCCCAGACACGGCCCGGGAAGTATCACCATCAAAACCTAAAGCACAAGCTGCATCAACAATTCAACTGCAGGAACTGTCGGTAAGATGCACGGCAAAAACGAATGTTCCGCGTACAGACAGGACTGTCATAACTGTACAAGTAGAAAAATTCCTTCGCTAATATGTGTTGTGGTGCTAGGGCCAACCGCGAAGCAATACGGGGCCACGGTAAAATTCACCGTGCGTTGGAAGAGAGATTTGCAGTACAGCCTTTCTTCATACGGGTCAGTTTGCATTGTTGCAGGTAGGACAAGTACAGAGCACTAACGATGCATGGCCGCACAGAACTTAAATTGCGAATGCAGCTAAGAAACCAAATAAATATTACAAAATTGACACAGGTTTGCTGAAGCAAATGTGTTGCCACGGAGAACACACTACGCCGAAATACTACACGTGAAACCGTGTCTCGTAAAGACACCGAACCGTGCTATCTGCGTATGGAGGGTTAAAACTTCAACACCGCTGGGATGCATCTCTTACCAAAATACGTTGACACAGACGTTGAGCTGTACTGTAGTGGAAACTGACTCTGAACCAATACTAGGTTCAAAATCAGTGTGCAGGACTTGAAGCTTATTGCCGAGCTAGACAAGTGCATGGACGGAGAGAAGCCTCACAAGAGATGACGTCATTAAATAATATGAGATGTGTTTG